ATATATATAAATAAATAAATAAATAAATAAATATATATATATATATATATATATATATATATATATATATATATATATATATATATATATATATATATATATATATATATATATATAAACCCACACATATACAAACTGTATTTGGTTCTTACACTGGCTGTCAAGGCTACTTGTCTGTCGAATCTTCCTGGTGCCATACATGGTCATCACAGTGTGACTGGACGGTCGGTCCTGCTCCTGGACTGTTCTAGAAGCATAAGATGTGTTTGTCATGGCAGAGGTTTTAGAATTTGGTCGACCATATCTGGTTGCTGATTTAGAACTTGCTACGGCTGTGAAGTCCAAATAATTTAAGTTAATAATATAGAAAGTAGATAAATGGCCCGTTGAGGGAGAAATACAACGGGCGCTAGGTTGACTGTGTTGACTTTTTCTCTAAACCGAAACCAAAATCACCAACTCAACTTTAAATTTACCCGGAAACGAAAAATATAATAGAAAACGGTGTTTCATCAAGAATCGGCAGATTTGTCAAAAGTATACTTTGGCCTGATATATTTTGTCATGAGATCATTTGTCCTTGAGATAATTAGTCCTGACATTTGTCCGTGAGATATTTTGTCTGGAATATTTAGTTTGAGATGATCTGTCTTGTGATCATCTGTCCGTGCGCCATATATATATATATATATATATATATATATATATATATATATATATATATATATATATATATATATATATATATATATATATATATATATATATAGATAGATATACATATATATATATATATATATATATATATATATATATATATATATATATATATATATAAGCTGATGGTAATGTGGTAAAGTGTTTACTTAGAATGTAAAACCACAATAAAGACGGAGAACTCATATAATATCGTGTTACAATATCAATCAATCTTAAATCAATATTTGATCCTAAACTAAATTGCAGTTAATTTAACTTCTCCGATGGTTGGATTTTAGAGATATAGTGACGCTAACTTATTTCATAAAGACTAGTAGTTTCCACACCACGAGTGTACTTATCCCACGTGAGTTATCGATCAATGCTATCATATAATATTAGGACTCAGATATTTTTTTCCATGAATTTTTTCATTTTAATTATCTCATTTATGACACACGGTGATTTTTGTTACGACCAAGGTATTTACAACGCCTACGATGCATTTAAAGTTCAGCTTTTTGAACTAAAGATGCACAGTACAGGTGAAGTAGAGTTCATGTTTTTCAGCCTTTGTATTTGATGGGATGGTGTAGTCAGCGCAACTCCCAGCCGCCTTTACTTTCCCCAAAGTGTGCCAGGTACCCATTAGAGCTGGGTGAACTCAGTGGTCGTTCTACAGTATTAATTCCAGGCCGAGATCCAAACTCGAGTACCAAGCATCCATCTGAATCATCGTACATATGATACAAGTGGACACAGGCAGGACTACATAAGATACAAGTGGACACAGGCAGGACTACATAAGATACAAGTGGACACAGGCAGGACTACATAAGATACAAGTGGACACAGGCAGGACTACATAAGATACAAGTGGACACAGGCAGGACTACATAAGATACAAGTGGACACAGGCAGGACTACATAAGATACAAGTGGACACAGGCAGGACTACATAAGATACAAGTGGACACAGGCAGGACTACATAAGATACAAGTGGACACAGGCAGGACTACATAAGATACAAGTGGACACAGGCAGGACTACATAAGATACAAGTGGACACAGACAGGACTACATAAGATACAAGCGGACACAGGCAGGACTACATAAGATACAAGTGGACACAGGCAGGACTACATAAGATACAAGTGGACACAGGCAGGACTACATAAGATACAAGTGGACACAGGCAGGACTACATAAGATACAAGTGGACACAGGCAGGACTACATAAGATACAAGTGGACACAGGCAGGACTACATAAGATACAAGTGGACACAGGCAGGACTACATAAGATACAAGTGGACACAGGCAGGACTACATAAGATACAAGCGGACACAGACAGGACTACATAAGATACAAGCGGACACAGGCAGGACTACATAAGATACAAGTGGACACAGGCAGGACTACATAAGATACAAGTGGACACAGGCAGGACTACATAAGATACAAGTGGACACAGGCAGGACTACATAAGATACAAGTGGACACAGGCAGGACTACATAAGATACAAGTGGACACAGGCAGGACTACATAAGATACAAGTGGACACAGGCAGGACTACATAAGATACAAGTGGACACAGGCAGGACTACATAAGATACAAGTGGACACAGGCAGGACTACATAAGATACAAGTGGACACAGGCAGGACTACATAAGATACAAGTGGACACAGGCAGGACTACATAAGATACAAGTGGACACAGGCAGGACTACATAAGATACAAGTGGACACAGGCAGGACTACATAAGATACAAGTGGACACAGGCAGGACTACATAAGATACAAGTGGACACAGGCAGGACTACATAAGATACAAGTGGACACAGGCAGGACTACATAAGATACAAGTGGACACAGGCAGGACTACATAAGATACAAGTGGACACAGGCAGGACTACATAAGATACAAGTGGACGCAGGCAGGACTACATAAGATACAAGTGGACACAGGCAGGACTACATAAGATACAAGTGGACACAGGCAGGACTACATAAGATACAAGTGGACACAGGCAGGACTACATAAGATACAAGTGGACACAGGCAGGACTACATAAGATACAAGTGGACACAGGCAGGACTACATAAGATACAAGTGGACACAGGCAGGACTACATAAGATACAAGTGGACACAGGCAGGACTACATAAGATACAAGTGGACACAGGCAGGACTACATAAGATACAAGTGGACACAGGCAGGACTACATAAGATACAAGTGGACACAGGCAGGACTACATAAGATACAAGTGGACACAGGCAGGACTACATAAGATACAAGTGGACACAGGCAGGACTACATAAGATACAAGTGGACACAGGCAGGACTACATAAGATACAAGTGGACACAGACAGGACTACATAAGATACAAGCGGACACAGGCAGGACTACATAAGATACAAGCGGACACAGGCAGGACTACATAAGATACAAGTGGACACAGGCAGGACTACATAAGATACAAGTGGACACAGGCAGGACTACATAAGATACAAGTGGACGCAGGCAGGACTACATAAGATACAAGTGGACACAGGCAGGACTACATAAGATACAAGTGGACACAGGCAGGACTACATAAGATACAAGTGGACACAGGCAGGACTACATAAGATACAAGTGGACACAGGCAGGACTACATAAGATACAAGTGGACACAGGCAGGACTACATAAGATACAAGTGGACACAGGCAGGACTACATAAGATACAAGTGGACGCAGGCAGGACTACATAAGATACAAGTGGACGCAGGCAGGACTACATAAGATACAAGTGGACGCAGGCAGGACTACATAAGATACAAGTGGACGCAGGCAGGACTACATAGGATACAAGTGGACGCAGGCAGGACTACACAAGATACAAGTGGACGCAGGCAGGACTACATAAGATACAAGTGGACGCAGGCAGGACTACATAAGATACAAGTGGACGCAGGCAGGACTACATAGGATACAAGTGGACGCCGGACTTACGGTGTGTGAAGATCTCTAGACCAGCGTACGGCTGGTAGGCTTGGATCAGTTGAAGCTGGGCCAGCTCGTGACGTGCTCGGATGGCCTGTTTGCTGCTTGACCTCCTGGGGTCATTGTAGTACCCGTAGTTCTCAGTGCTGGCCTGGTTTCTGGAAGAGAGACACTTGCGCCACTTATAATGGAAAAAACTAAATTAAAAAACGAAGAAAAAAACAACTAATTTTAAACATACTGAAGAAAAAAATCCAACAACAACAAAACAATAACAAAAAAAAAAAACAACAAAAAACAACACATGAGCTACCAACACGATAATTTATCGATATTTAATTTACAGTAGAAGTCCCCATAAATGGAATAAAACAATCAGAGTAATGGCCACGGCGGTAAGCAGCTGGCAGAGGCAGGACTGTCATGTGGGATTGCCTGGAAAATTGCCGGTGACCGACAATAGTGGCGGACCCATTTGTCTTGGGCACAAAAAGGAAAAGATGGAACATCAGAGTAAGGTTCATACTTTAGTCAGGATATGCTAACTGTATATATATATATATATATATATATATATATATATATATATATATATATATATATATATATATACATATATATATATATATATATATATATATAATGTAATGTGATATTACATAACAGTTGTATTTAGACACATTAGTGGAAGGAGAAGGGAAGGGAAAATCGCGTCATTTATGTATGACCCCTTTACATTAAAAAAAAAGCGGAGTGATCTCCCTTAAACTTTCTCGAATATTCTTACATAACACAACGGGGGATAGGAAGTCAGGATATAGACGTGATTTTTAAACCCTTTTTGATTTACTTAAACTATTAAAAATGGAATAAAATCTTGTAGAAAAAGAATAGAGCACCAAGTGAACGGCAAATAATTTGTGTATAATAGTGCGGAATAATAGTACTTTATAAATTAATATGCGTTTTTTTAGAAATCCTAAATGGGATAAATTACTAATTCCGGACAGCGCAAATTACTCAAAATTTGGTAGTGTTCAGAACATTGGTTATTTCACTCACGTGTAAAATTTCGCTTATCTATATGAAATTGTACACAGGTGATACCGTTTTGAAAAAACAAAAGTAGAATATGCTCCACTTTCGGAAATCGCTGAAAAGTTGATACAAAACTAACGTTTATATATATATATATATATATATATATATATATATATATATATATATATATATATATATATATATATATATATATATATATGTGTGTGTGTGTGTGTGTGTGTGTGTGTGTGTGATCCTAGACCTACTCTCTCAACACCGCCATTGACTTGTGACTGCGGGCCGTCTGAGGTCGCTGTGCTCGACTGCGGTCAGGATTATTTTTCCTGGATAAGCTGTCACCCTGTGAATCCTGGCTGTTCGCCTCCCTGTGCTGTTGGTTCGCCTGGCTGTCCTGCTGTCGATAGGCTGTTTGTGATCGAGATGAGTCTGGTGGGCCGTCGGATGAGCTGTTCTGTTGTCGTAAAAAAACAACTGATAAATACTATTTTTAGATACTGGCCATAAGTAGCTATTTAAAAAAAAACCATAACAGAGGTCTATACATTTACATGGTTAAATTCACAACCGTAACATACAAAATGCAAAGCGATTTTTATATGTGAGGAGAAAAAAACACTCAAAATTACATATATTGATTTTTTTTGTATGTATTGTTAGATTTATAATTTTTTGCAATTAAATAAAAAAAAAACACAAAAAAGCACCAAAAAAAAAGTATTTTCATTTAACAAAATTGATGCAGTTTTTGAAGTGTAGTTAAATATCAAAAGTACAAAAAAAAAACCCAACCAATTTGTCAAAACAGCAGAGGCGTAGCGACCCTTCCCGGCCCCCGATTTGCAAACTTTCAATTTGTTTTTCCAACTCATTTTGGCGCCCCCTGAGGTCGGCGCCCGGGGACATATGTACCCCCACCCCCCTCGCTACGCCTCTGCAAAATAGTGTGGACTTACCTGAACAGCGGTGCCTATTTTTGTTCTAGATTTTCTATCTTCCTGGATACGTTTAATTTGTTCTGAAAAACAAAACAGAATTTCTCCATTTTAGACATGCTTGGTAGAGTGATGTCCATGACGTCATTTGCTGACCGCTCATAAAGATTAATTTCTGCATTTACCACTACACACCATTTACCCTGTAGGTATCGATTATACGATTTACTAAAGATATTGATTACCCTGTAGGTATAGACCCCATGATTTACTACACATACTACTTACACTGTAGATATATACCCATGATTTACTATACATATTTCTTACCTTGTAGGTATCGATCCCATGATTTACAACCACACTTACCCTGTAGGTATCAATTCTATGATCTACTACCACACATATCACTTACCCTGTAAGTATCGATTCTATGATCTACTACCACACATATCACTTACCCTGTAGGTATCGATTCTATGATCTACTACCACACATATCACTTACCCTGTAAGTATCGATTCTATGATCTACTACCAATCACTTACCCTGTAGGTATCGATTCTATGATCTACTACCACACATATCACTTACCCTGTAGGTATCGATCCCACATTTACCCTGTAGGTATCGATTCTATGATCTATTACCACACATATCACTTACCCTGTAGGTATCGATTCTATGATCTACTACCACACATATCACTTACCCTGTAGGTATCGATTCTATGATCTACTACCACACATATCACTTACCCTGTAGGTATCGATTCTATGATCTACTACCGCAATAATACTTACCCTGTAGGTATCGATCCCACATTTACCCTGTAGGTATCGATTCTATGATCTACTACCACACATATCACTTATCCTGTAAGTATCGATTCTATGAACTACTACCACACATATCACTTACCCTGTAGGTATCGATCCCACATTTACCCTGTACGTATCGATTCTATGAACTACTACCACACATATCACTTACCCTGTAGGTATCGATCCCACATTTACCCTGTACGTATCGATTCTATGATCTACTACCACACATATCACATACCCTGTAGGTATCGATCCCACATTTACCCTGTAGGTATCGATTCTATGATCTACTACCACACATATCACATACCCTATAGGTATCGATTCTATGATCTACTACCACACATATCACTGACCCTGTAGGTATCGATCCCACGTTTACCCTGTAGGTATCGATTCTATGATCTACTACCACACATATCACATACCCTATAGGTATCGATTCTATGATCTACTACCACACATATCACTTACCCTGTAGGTATCGATCCCACGTTTACCCTGTAGGTATCGATTCTATGATCTACTACCACACATATCACTTACCCTGTAGGTATCGATTCTATGATCTACTACCACACATATCACTTACCCTGTAGGTATCGATCCCACATTTACCCTGTAGGTATCGATTCTATGATCTACTACCACACATATCACATTCCCATGTAGGTATCGATTCTATGATCTACTACCACACATATCACTTACCCTGTAGGTATCGATCACACATTTACCCTGTAGGTATCGATTCTATGATCTACTACCACACATATCACTTACCCTGTAGGTATCGATCCCACATTTACCCTGTAGGTATCGATTCTATGATCTACTACCACACATATCACATACCCTGTAGGTATCGATCCCACATTTACCCTGTAGGTATCGATTCTATGATCTACTACCACACATATCACATACCCTATAGGTATCGATTCTATGATCTACTACCACACATATCACTGACCCTGTAGGTATCGATCCCACGTTTACCCTGTAGGTATCGATTCTATGATCTACTACCACACATATCACTGACCCTGTAGGTATCGATCCCACGTTTACCCTGTAGGTATCGATTCTATGATCTACTACCACACATATCACATACCCTGTAGGTATCAATTCTATGAACTACTACCACACATATCACATACCCTGTAGGTATCGATCCCATGATTTATGCCTGTTGGCCTCCAAGTTCTTCTCTCGTATAATCTTCTTGAAGATAGCCTGATCGTAGGACGGTCCAGAGTGGATCATTATCCGCTTCATTTGGTGAAGCTGTCTGATAGACCTCCGCTCTGACTCGTATTTCTTAACACTCTCCTGAAATTATGGGATAGTTGTGTTGTGAGTTGAAATGGTGTTGATACATCTTTCTGAAAGTTTATCATCGTGCACAAGACACGTGGGGCAGATGAAGTAGATTACGTCTGCTTCAGAAGCCTCGGAATATAAGGGGATATTCCCAGCTAGCTTTTGATTTTCGATTTGGCGCCCGGGGCTTTTCCGTGAGTGCTATGGCAACTACGTTCGTTTTAAACTGTAGGATAAACTATGAATAAGATTGGGTGTTATAGTCACTTACTAAGTGGAATCAGGTAGTTTCGTCGGCGCTCCGGCAGGGTGTGATTTGGCGCCGAGGGCTATACTGTGAGCACTATGCTTTTATGTTTGTATTTAACTTTGTGTTTATGTTCAGCGTTATTGTTTGCGCTTAGTTTTGCGTTAGTGTTTGCGTTGTGTTAGTGATAGTGTTTTGCGTTTCTAATTGCGGTAGAGTTTGCATTTTTGTTTGTGTTTAAGTTTGTGTTTGCTTTTGTATTTGCCGTTATGTTGTGCTTTTCTTTGCCTTGCGGTTTTTTTTGCGTTCGCTTTTCTATTTGCGTTTGTTTTTGTGTTTGTGTTTGCGTTTTGTTGTTGGGTTTGGGTTTGTGTTTTCGTTTGTGTTTGTGTTTACCTTTGTGTTTGTTTTTGTGTTTTCGTTTATGTTTGTTTTTGCGTTTTTGTTCCGGTTTGATCTTTGGTTTGTGTTTGTGATTACGTTTATGTTTTGGTTTTGTTTGCTTGTGGGTAGGGTTAATTTGAAATTTAATATAGATTTCCTAAACTCGTGTAATGCCGGGTATATGCTGCTTAATAAACACACAAACTAAGGCCAATGCAGGGCCTAGCAGGGACGGCTAGTCTATTACATACAGTTAATTATTCCACTCTAACCTGTATTGATTGTATCAGCTGGTTCGGTCGAGTCTTCTTCTTTGATGGCTTCTCTTGTTCATCTTCGGTTTCATCAGCATCTGTATAACTCTCATCCTCCCTGATATACATATCAAATTATATTATATCTATAATATAACGCTGGTGGTAGTGTGTCAGTCAGTCATCGATATATTTTGGAACCATAAAAGTAAACATCGGACCATGCAGTGCTTTTCAGTGCATCGCATTGTCTTATTATAAGTATTAGAGTATGGTTTGTTTATATAACGACTTAAATTTATTTTATAGTTGCCACTGTTTTTACTCTTTTGCATTACGTAAAGAAAATATTAGATTGCTAAAACATATTAAAAGAATCAATGTCAAATATCATTTCCGTTTAGATTCCTAGAAAAATTGGATACATTTTTATAGCGTTAGGGTAAAAAAACGAATTAATTCAACTTTTTTGTTTGTAATTTTGACTAGGGAGGTAATTGAAAAATAAATTCAACTCACTCTCAATAATTTAAGTTAATTATTTTTATTACTACCGCATTGATTATTATATGTTAAGGTTCATAATTAAAATAGAAAAATGTTAAGATTATTTATATTATTTTCTAATTGGTCTATAATCTCAAAATCACTATTTTTTGTTTTTGTTTTTCGGTGTTATTAAAATAGATGGTGAAATAAAATTTATAGAGAATGGTGGAAAGGCTCTTTGTGTTGTGTTTGTGTTGTGTTTAGTTTTGTTCTGTTTCCAAGTTGGTACATTTTAAAAAAATTCACAGTGGCGGAGCACGGGTATGCAGCTATTATATATATATATATATATATATATATATATATATATATATATGTATATATATATATATATATATATATATATATATATATATATATATATATATAATATTTCTTTGAGTCGTCGCTGTCTGGTCAACAAACTTAATTATTTTCACATTATTGTTAAACTGTTACACGCTCTAAATTCATTTTTTGTACTTTAAAAAAACCCATCAAAATACAGCGGTGAAGAGAACATATTAAAATGACCAATTTACCTCTGGTTTTTACTAGCATTGTTCCCGTCTGTGTCCACGTCATCATAACTGCCGGCGGCTCGGTCATTATTCCGGAGAGACTTCCGGCTTGATTTCGGACTAGCTGACCGGCGCTGGGAGCGTGCACTAGCAGGGGCGGGACTTCTGGATCCCGCACTCTTACGAGGGTTTGTGGAACTAGACATCCGGGGTCTTCTCTCGTGTCCAGCGTCCTCGGATCGCCATCTTGGTTTGGCCTTTGCTGCAGAATTTGCGCGGTTTTCTTTGTATTGCGCTTCCTCCGATTTTGTTTTTGCTGATTTTCGATTGTTCACTGAAGAATTATCACGAGCTATAGAGTCTTGGCTGTTATTTTGGCTTTCTGTATACGTCTGGGCTAGAGATTGTTTGTTTTTTGTGTTCTTCCTCAAAGGAACAGGTTCGACTGAGTTATTCCGATGCGTGGACGAGTTTTTATTGTTTTTATCGGTGTTGGTGTTATCCATGGTGTGTTTAGACGTGGGTGCTGTTATAAGTTCCGAAGGAGGTTTCGGGGAATGTTGATTTGATCTTTCCTCTCGACACTCGGTTAATGTTTGTGAATTTGTTTTTTTAGGTTTTCGAGGAGATTTGGAAGGAGCCGGTGATCTATCGGGAGCGTCTTTAGATTTTTCAAAGGACGGCGGTTCACTCTGAGCTATTTCCTCTTCTGTAGACAGACTTTTATACTGACCGGAGAACCCGTCGTCCGTAGAGGATTTAGTACTTTTGGAATCGTACAGCGAGTTCCGGCTGTGAATAGTCACGGCTTTTTGCCGGATGAATCTCCGGTCGTGCGACACGAGTGGTTTTTTAGCGGAGTTCCTTCCGCTGGTGATGATTTTCTTCAACGGCTTCTTCGGTTTTTTCCGCCGCGCGACGTCACTGCCGGAAGACTCGATGTCCGAGGTGTTGCCGTGGGAGGTGGATTTCTCCGAGGGCGTCTCACACTCGTCTGAATGGCTAGAGGATTTGGTTTTGATTGTCTTCTGCCGAGGCGCGTGGGTTAACTTCTCGGAGATTTGCGTAGACGTATCCGCGGTAAAAGTCTTTGTCGAACTTGTATTTATATCCTGACTCTTAGACTCGAGTTTCGTTGACTCCTGTTTGGGAAACGATCCGGCCTGCTCCGCGCCAGCTGTTTCGGAATCTCTGCTAGCTGGTTTTTCCTTGGAGGTTTGATCTCCAGCTTTTTCGGGGTCGATTCTTCCGGATCTCTTCCCAGAGGGCGTGGTGATCTGGGTACCCTTGTCGACGTATTTCGGCGTGTCCTTCTCTACGGCCAAAGTCTGATTCACCTCGCGTTGATCTTTCTCTTCCCCCAACTTCTCTTGGACGTCCGCCTTGCCCTCCGCGCTCGAAGTGCGAGAGGCGTTAAGCTTTTCAACCGTGGGCGTCCCAGAACTATCCGCACTCTGACGCTGCGCTGACCGGTGCTTCTTGTGATACCGGAAACGGGTCTGAATAACCTCAGCGGCGTGATCCACTACCTCACTTCCTGACCTGCCGTTGTGCGCGTACAGAAAGTCCTTGACCTCAGTATGACCTTTGAGAACAGCAGCGTCGTAAGGGGTGTAATATTTACCCTGAAACCAGGAAACATTTTTGTTACATTCAGCAGTGTGAGATCTATTCAAATAAAAGAGCGCGGAAAATCAATATTTGTCATTGGTTGCCTATAAAATTTAAAACTAACAAGAAATATTGATTTTTTTTTTCACATTAAAAATTCAAGACCTACGCATGTAAGAAACACATGTCAGCATATCCTTAGAATGATAAGATTGTGCTGGTTATTTTAAACACATAGACAGCGTTTATCTGAAATCTTTCAGTGTTTGGACATAGCGCCACATGACAGACATTTTTAAACACAGACCAATGTAATATATTATATGACGCTAGCATGCTACAAAAAACTTATATGACGCTTGAGTGCTACAAACTTATATGACGTTAGCATGCTACAAACTTATATAGCGGTAGAATGCTACAAACTTATATAACTGTAGAGTGCTACAAAATTATATGACGCTAAAGTGCTACAAACGTTTATGACGTTAGCATGCTACAAATTCATATAACACATAACAATGACGGCAAAAGTGTGGCGGCTATGCAATATATTGCAACGTTATAGCTGCATCTAGCGCTATTCTCTATAGCATGCTACAAATGTATACAACGCTAGAATGCTACATAGCATTCGAATGCTACAAACTTATATAACGCTATAATGATATATGGCACTAGAATTTTACAAACTTATATAACGGTAGAATGCCACATGACATTATTATTCTACAAACTGAGACATTAATTGAATACTACAAACATCATGACGCTAGAATACTTTAGATTTAAAAATGCTACAAACCTAAATGACACTAGAATGCTACAAATGTAAATGACACTTCAATGCTACAAACTCACATGACACTAGTATGCTACAATCTAACATGACGCTAGAATCCTACAATTCACACAAGGCAAGAGGGGACAGCGTACAAACAGTTCGAGGAGAACACGGCAGATAAAATCCATACACATACAACAAAATTGTTGCTTGTCCAAACAAGATTGAGGTTAAGATTAACACTACTAAATGTTGGTGTAGCTCTTTAACGCAAATTATTGTTTCGAAAAAAAGTTTATAGAAAAGAAAGAAATGTTATTAAACTTGAGACTACCAATACCATATCTAGAAATAACTTACAGAATTTGATTTTAAAAATATAGATAACACGTTTGATGTAAATAATTGACTTTAATTACATAGGGCAATGTATTTCAAAAGCACACCATAAACGTATTAAGGCATCAATTCATGATTTTAGTCGAATTTCTACTAAATTTCCTGGTCTTTCACTGTTCCTAAACATATTTTTGTGAGACTTACACTTTTTGTTGTGAATGTACATTTTATTTTATCCAAAACACTTTGGTGAAACCATGATTTTTTAACGTAACATAAATATTTGAAACAAACAAACAAAAACTAGTTTCTAGTTGGCGTCCCAAACATATGTACACATAGTCACAAGATAATTAAACCTTAACTTAACTTATGAGCACCGTATACACACAACTTACCAGCAAGAAGAAAACAAACAGCGACACGAAATCTCCTCGACCAGAAACACTTCGATTTCCACACACACAAAACAGGTATCCCCAAAGGGATTAGCGATAGGATTTTCACATTCAATCTGTGTCAATCTGATCCATACTATATCCCCCCTCCCCCCCCCCCCACACACACACACGTAAACACATATAAAGAACCGTAGGACTCGTAAACCCGTAAAGAAAACTCTTGGAGTTATTTCCCTTACTTTCTTTCCCCTGTCTTTAATGTCTAAATAGGCTTATTGTGGCTTGGTCTATGACTCGGAAATTTGTACGGCGGGGGCCGGACTGATAAGGTAATACAGGTGGGCATTAAACGACAATCACTTCTGCTGATAGTGTGTGATATGTGTGTATCTGTGTGGCAGTCCTAAGTGTTTGTGTGTGTGAGTGTGTCAGTTTATGTGTGTATGCAAGTTTTAGTGTATTTATGTATCGGTATGGGAAAGTGTCAGTCGGTTTTGACGGTGGCGTACGTTTTGTAAGCCAGTTTGTATAAAAAGAAATCAATTTGTTAATGTCTGTTTGTGTGCATTAATATATCAGTACGCTAGTAAAAGAGTCAATAGAGGTAGCATTAATATACACTTATATTGCCAATGTGTACATTTAGTCAATGTGTATATCTGTATACATTTGTAACTGTGTACGTTAATTGTGTATGCATTTATGGGTTTGGGTATGTCATTATGACTTAAATTTAGTATGCCAGTATTATATTAAATGAAGTCATTTTTGCTTTGCGTCATTATGTGCATATATATATATATATATACATATATATATATATATATATATATATATATATATATATATATATATATATATACATATATATATATATATATATATATATATATATATATATATATATATATATATATATATATATATATATATATATATATATAATTATGTTTCTAGGATAGTCTGTGTGTGTCTATACAGTGTTTTAACTAAGCAAGAATGTGTTTTTTAATCGTGTACACCATCTATATCTATTTTTGGAGTGTTTTAAAACAACATGTATGAATATTTAAGTGTGTATCTGTGTACACTTGCGCGTAAAGAAATGATCACAGTAAAACAAATGAATTAAACATCAGACCATTCTGAACAGACACAACCTAAACAAATCGATCGTGTCAAAGAAAACAAAATCAATACGTCTTTGATTTAGATCTAGCCGGTAGGTGCTAGGTATAGAAACACGTGACACGACCGAGAAAGGGAAACATTGATTCGCTGTGAACTTTGGAATGCGAATTTTATTTCATTGTAAAACACTACTACCTCATGCTGTAAATACCCACACTCAGTGGCGTAGCTACCGTAAAGCCAGCGTAAGCAAGGCATAGGGACCCAATGCAAATAGGGGCCCTTTTTCGAAAGTTTGAGGGGGGGGGGTGTGCAAATTGAAAGTCTGAGGGGGGGGGATGCAAATCGAAAGTTTGTCGCCGGGAAGGGTCGCTACGCCTCAGAGGGGCCCACTATCACTTTTTGCATAGGGGCCAAAAAATCCTAGCTACGCCACTGCCTACACTACCTATAATCTAACTACTTTTATTGCCTTCTAAATTTAAAAACTTTCATTACCTTAGTACTTACACTAGCTCATTATCTAAATATACTAATTCATTCTGTAACTACCTACACTACCTCATTCTTTTTAAATTCTTAACATTATTCTCTAAATATTTACTTTACAACATTCTCTTAAATGCTTACATAACCTAACTATTAAAATACTTACTTTATCCCATTCTGTAACTACCTACATTACTTGATCTTCTAACTAAACTACGCTCACTATCTAATTCTCAACGTTCCATTACTAGTTGACTAGAATTACATCCCTTTATGTTATGGTCTTTCTTCTAGCAATATTACCTATCCATCCCACTATTCATTAACAGAATATACGATTCTCGACCCCCCACACCCACCCACCCTTGTTAAGCCTCTTTCACAACTGCAGGAATCTAAGTAATTTTACTATTCGTAGCCCTTTATCCCTGTCTACTTAAATACTAATTTAGACTAGGTAATGCTTATTAAACCAAAGTGGGTTTAAAAAAAATATGCTGGAATAATCAGTCTTTTAAAGAAAGCAAGCTTCACTGCCTTATTTATAGATGTCCCCAATAAATTCTGAGTTAGCTCCCTTTGAACAGACAGAGGTTGACTTCTCTGTATTTAAATTTATGAATCGCCAAATAAAAAACAAACATTGATCAGGTTCGAACAATGAAAAATGTCGTCAATGTTTCTTCGCTTGATATCCATTTATATACATAAACATTTTACGTGAAGGTACATTATATACCAAATAAACATACACATACCAAATTTAATCCTAGAACCAACACATGCAGGAATCTAAGCCTACACAAGATTTATGAAGATCTTTGAAATTAAACTTTATTATATGCTGACATGAAGATCTTTGACCTGGGGATAAGTTCTGATCTATGCTCTTAGTGAAAGATAAATGCATACTTTGTGACCAGTATCGATTTTTTTCATAATGAGTATTGCTGTTATGAGACGTAGTGCTACATGATTGGGGTAAGAAAGTTTAGACTGTTGAGAAAGTTCCATGAGGTCCACAAGAACAGTCACGGGAAGGGCCATAAGAAGCAGACGAATAATTGACTTGACCAGACAGACATGTAACCTATAGAACTCAACTTGTTGACCTGAACTAGTGACCTACACCACTGACCTTGTTGACCTCTGACCTACACAACCGACCTTGTTGACCTAACCCTTGACCTACACAACTGACATTGTTTACCTGTAACCTACACAAATGTTGACATGACCCTTGACCTACACAACTGACCTTGTGACATGACCCTTGACCTACACAACTGACCTTGTTTATCTGTGACCTACACAAATGACCTTGTTACCTGACATCTGACCTACACAACTGACCTTGTTGACCTCTGACCTACACAACTGACCTTATTGACCTGACCTGTGATATCCACAACTCAACTTGATGACCTAATTTGAGATACAGTTCAAGTTGTTGACCTGACCTTTGACCTAAACCACTGACCTGACCTTGTTGACCTCTGACCTACACAAGTGACCTTGTTGACCTGGTTTGTAACAGCTCACATTTTTTACCTGCCCTGTGACCTACACAGCTCACTCTGTTGACCTGATCTTTGACCTACACAATTAAACTTGTTAACCTGACATCTGACCTACAAAACTGACCTTGTGACATGACCCTTGACCTACACAACTGACCTTGTTGACATGACCTGTGACACAGCTCACTCTATTGACCTGACCTAGTGACCTCCACAACTGACCTTGTTGACATGACCTGTGACACAGCTTACTATATTGACCTGACCTAGTGACCTACACAACCGACCTAGTTGACCTGACCTAGTGACCTACACAACTGACCTAGTTGACCTGACCTTGACCTACTCAACTGACCTTGTTGACCTCTGACCTCCACAACTGACCTTGTTGACATCTGACCCCCCACAACTGACCTTGTTGACCTCTGACCCCCCACAACTGACCTTGTTGACCATGACAGAGTTGACGTTAGCGCCGTGCTCCAGCAGGACCCTGGCCAGCCAGATGTTGTTGGTGAGCGCCGCGATGTGCATGCACGTGCGACCCTCGTTGTTGCCGCCATTGACGGCCTTGACCTTGTCTTTGGCCAGTGACAGGAGAAACTGGACGACCTCTGAGGACGGGAAAAGTTTCACTGAACTCTCTCTCAGGCCCAGACAGGTCTTGATGGATACGGGCGGCCAGTTAAATTTTGTCGCACTCAGTGGCGTTTGCAGGGGGGGTTAGGGAGGGGGTCATAACCCCCCCATAGACCCCTCGGTATATATATATGTGACCTAGGCTAGTTGCATCTATCCTGTTCGCAACGCCCAATGTGACCTTTCCCGAGTCTATCCTGCCCGACAACGCCAATTGTAACGAGTTGAACCACTCATGCTACACAACATCGACTACAGTAGAAAGACTCGAAGATGCAGGTTCGCTATTGATCCTTTTATTACATGAATCAAGAAATGTTTCAATATAACACAATGAATCAACAGAGATGTTTCACAATAATAGTCTGAATCAACTGACCCCCTAACAGTCCTCACTAGGCTTCATATAACTGAATCCACATGTCTATTGTCCTTCTTAACACAATATAACCAACTTGAGTATGTCACACAGACTGACTGATCTAAAGCAAGCGACGACGACGGAAGAGAGAGAACGAGTCCTGCCGTGCCCTCCTATTTATGCCTTGTATCCGTACTCGTCTCCGTACTTGTATTCCTCCGTAATCGATACTTGTACTCGATCTCCGACCACCAGTTGCGTAGTTCAAACGTACAGACCGTAAAATAACATCTGCGTCCTATCCATCAAAGTTGACAGGCCGTCTGAATACCGTTTCCCAAAATAGCACGCCTTGGCTTTGAGGTTGTTATCAGCCCGACCCAATAAGCCACCTGTTATCGGTTGCATCAGACCAACACCGTGTCTCGGCTTCTCGTTCGTTATCATTTGTAACTGGTAGTTAGGCCTACCCCAGTTACATCCACCCCTGCTTTTTTTGTGTGTTTTCAACCACAAACAACGCCTGGCAGGTGCACTTCCTAAATGTCCATCGCATCATCGTAAAAAAATGTATTGTTCCACTCACTATCCACGACGTTCCATTCGTATACGATTGACAGTTATACCTATTTCACATATCAACTGTCTCTACATCATCTTCCTGAGACACAAAACAGTTCTAGAATTCACATCCACCCTTTCCATTTGGTGCCTTCACCAGTTCACTTCTATAGCTCTTTGAACAGTCTGTTTTCATACCAGCGCGACCATGAAAGAATTGATGGTTGCTGACAAAAAATTTCGTATTCCTTCTGTTCCTTAAACTTCTCCGCGGACCACTTATCTGATGGTCTACTGTCTCTCTGCTTCTGGAGGGAACGGGATCCTCTTTGTTGCCGTTATCCTCCACTTGTGTATCGCGGTTGTTCTGATGATGGTGATATGGTTCCGGGATGGGTATGTGAATTACCGTTATAGTTTCCGGTTCCCTAATTGTCTTGGATTTCCTTGTGTGTACTTGCTCTTCTTGCCTATTCCAATATTTCTTTAATTGAGCAATATTCGCCCACCGATCCGGTTTGGCGTGATCGATGGGTCTTATCTTAAAGGGGCCACCTGCTGCTTTAGGCATCTCCACGACTTGCCATATCTCCTGTCCCCAGAGATCGTGGATTTTGTTTCTGCCTAACGGGTGGCTACGCAGTACTACCCTGTCATTCAGTTTGAGTGGCGGGTCCTTCGTCTGTATCGGCGGTTCCCTTCGCCGAGATTCATGTTCTAGTCTTTCCTGTACTACCCTGTACATTTCTCTAATTCTTCTCATATGTTCATTCACATATTCCAGTGCGGTGTATGAGCCAGTCATACTCTCCCTTTTTCCTAGGAACAAATCAAGAGGGAGTCGAGCCTCTCGTCCGAACAGCAACATGTATGGCGAAAAGCCGGTTGTGGCATGTGGTGTGCAGTTGTATAGATATACCAGCTCTGGGAGAAAATCAGGCCAACGTTTTTTCTGTTCAGGTTCTAGCGTACGCAGCAAATCATGCATGCTGCGGTTGAACCGTTCACACTGTCCGTTTCCTTTCGGATTAAATGTGGTTGTTCTAGATTTGTTGATCCCGTAGTGGCTGCACAGTTGGTTAATTACTTCTGACTCGAAAGCCCTTCCTTGGTCAGAATGTAATTGTCTTGGTATGCCATATTTGATGAACCAATGTTCTAATAAGACCTTTGCCACTGTTTTGGCAGTCTGATCACGTGTGGGCACCGCCACAGTCCATTTGGTGAATACATCAGTCATTACCAACACATGTTCCGTCCCATCCGATGATTGCTCCAACGACGTAAAGTCCATCGCCACAATCTCTAGTGGTTTTGTCGCTAATAGGTGTCCTGATGGCTGTCTCATTTTGACAACTGGCATTTTCGCATGCTGACACCTCACACAAGCCTCACAATGGCGTTTGACCTCCATTTCCATATTGGGCCAGTAACACCTCCGTCGTAAAATTTTGTGCGTCCTGTCCTGACCCTGGTGTCCTGCCCTGTCATGTGCCAACCTTAGCACTTCTTCTCGTAATTGTCCCGGCACCACCACCTGGTGTATTGTGCCATCAATTTGGTCATGAATTCTCCGCATGAGAACACCATCCTTTATACTGAGACGGTTCCACTGACTCAGTATTTTCTTTGTTTCTCGACCAAATTGTTCTCTTTCCCTTCTTCCTGGGAATTTTTGTTCCTGGACGTATTTCAATAGCGGTTGTAAGCCACTATCCGTTCTCTGGGCATCTCTTATCTTTTTGTGATTAAGGCAATTAAAATCACTACTGTCCATATGTTCGGGTTCCGTGGATATGTGCTCCACCCCGGTCTGCCCGTTCTGCATCACTTGTACCCCATGAGGGATATCTGTTGACGCTCTGACCTCACATATTCCTGTCAGTGTTTCCTCCTCATCACCCGGTCTCTCGTAAGGATTCCTTGATAAGGCGTCCGCATTGCCATTGGACCGCCCCGGGCGATACTTTATCTCTAGGTCAAAGAGTGCCAATTCTGCTGCCCATCGCTGTTCGATGGATCCCAACTTTGCTGTCTTTAGGTGACTCAAGGGGTTATTGTCAGTGTATACCACACATTTAGCACCTAATAGATAGTCCCTGAATTTCTCAGTCACAGCCCATTTTAATGTCAAAAGTTCTAGTTTCATGGCGCTGTAATTTGTCATGTTTCTCTCTGATCCCTTCAGAGCTCGACTGGCATACGCAATAACCCTGAAACCTTGCTTTTGTTGTTGTGATAGCACAGCTCCCAGGCCTTTAGAGCTGGCGTCAATTTCTAACCGAAATGGTTTGTCAAAGTCCGCGTATCCCAATATCGGTGCCTCTGTCAAAGCCTTTTTCAAGAGCTTAAACGAGTTCAGGCATTCATCAGTCCATAATTCACCTATCAGTTGTGTTTTACCTTTCTTTTTCTCCTTACTGTGTTTCTTTGTCATTTTGTTTACCAAGTCATGCAATGGTGCGGCAATTTTTGCAAAACCCGGCACAAATTTTCTATAATAGGAAGCAAAGCCCAAGAATGACCTGACCTCTACCGTAGTTGTTGGTTGTTTCCATTCTTTAACAGCTGCAATTTTATCTGGGTCAGTGGCGATGCCATCCGACGAAATCACGTAACCCAAAAAATGTACCGATTTCAAACCAAAGCAGCATTTGTCTGGGTTCAGCTTTACTCCTATCTCCCTAAGACGGAGAAACACTTGTTCTAATCTTTTTAGATGGTCCTCCCAAGTTTTTGAGTAAACTAGAATATCATCCAAATACACCAACATTATTTGAAATAGAAAGTCACTCATAGCACTCTGCATTACTCGCTGGAATGTAGCAGGTGCATTAGTTAGACCAAACGGCATACGGGTCCACTCGTACAGTCGCAGTGGAGAAATAAATGCAGTTTTATGTTGATCGTTGGGGTGCATGGCCACTTGGTGGTAGCCACTAGCCAAATCCAAGGTAGAAAAAAATCTTGCTCCTCCCAACGCATCAAGACATTCATCAATACGAGGCAAGGGGAATGCATCCCTTCTTGTGATATTGTTCAATTTCCGGTAATCACAACACAGTCTTATCTCCCCTGACTTCTTTTTTACCACTACAATCGGTGCCGCATATGGGCTCGTACTGGTTGTAATAATTCCCTTTTTTAGTAGATCGTTCAGGTGTGCTTTCACCGCAGAGTAGTGACTTGGTGGCAATCTTCGATAAGGTTGCGCCACCGGCTTGTCTTGTAGTAAGGGTATCTGGTGTTTTATTACTTCCGTGTACCCCAAATCACCCTCATACGAGGCAAATATATCACTGTATTTCTTCAGCAATTCATTTAGTTTTGGGTCCTCAGTTTCCGGGAATGTATATGATCGGCCATCTTCTTTCATCACCTCGGCCGTCACATTGACCGACCTAATTGTTACTTCATTACTACTGGTATTGATCAGTTCGATGCACTGTGCCGACCGTTGTACCTCGACGTTCTGTGGTACTCCTACCAGAGTATTAGGCGGTATAAAAATTTCTTCATCCAAAACATTTGCCACTAATCCTTGAACTAGTCCATTTTCCGCTGATGTGTATGTCCGCAGTAACACGACGCCTGCCCTCAGTGCGGCGCCACATGGTTCTATCATCACATCACCATTCACACTTCTATCACCAATTTTTAATGTGATTGCCTTGACCGTGTTTGCCGGGACTGATATCCTTCCTCTGGTCTTGGCAAACCTGGCCAACTTGGATCCCCGACCTGGTGTGGTCGATCCGACAATATTTGTAAGAAATTCTGGCAACTGGCCAAGAATATTCATGCCCAACAGGCAAGGTATATTTGACACATTTGTCTCTAGGTTGTGTTTCGTAACGAACACCCCAACCTGCTTCAACCTATGTCCTGCCACCACGACATCCGCCAGAAAATAACCACAGTATGGAATGGTTAGTCCATTAGCTGCCGTCAGGCGCATGCATGTGTCAGACCTCAACCTATGGTCTTTTCCTTTCATCCATTTGGTGTAAAAATTTTCCGTGATCGTCGTCACCTGGGAGCCTGTATCCACAATTGCCTTCACCGCGATGTCCCCAATCGTAATCACCATTTCAGGACAGACTCCCATCATTTTGCTTCTTGGGCCATACCCTCGCCCCTCTGTAGCCTGGCCCTGCCTTACAGAGGACGACCGTTTCCCTGGCAGTACCGTGCCATATGTCCGGGTTGTGAACAAGACAAACAAATTGGTCGACCGTCGGCCGTCCATTGGAGTTGGTGGCTTGGCCGGACGCGGCCGTCCAACCCGTCCCTGTTTTGTCCCGTTCTTTTCCCGATTCTCAGCTGTTGACCTGCTTTCTAACCTTTCCAAACGTTGGTCAACCTTATCTATGTGGGCCAACAGTTGAGCCATCATGGTCTCCATCGTGTCGGCCCCTGTGGGTGGGGATTGTCTCTGTTCAGGTACAGAAACTTTGTCCACCGAACAGTTCGATTGGTCCTCATCCTCGGACCTGCGGATCGCTGAGTTCCTGACCTGGAGGAAGGTCAACTGCGGTTCTTTGTGGACCTCCTCTTTCAACTCTCTTCTTAGGATCGGGGTTGCCAGCCCCTCAATGAAATGGTCCCTCAGTAGGCGTACATCAATGTCCGGTGTTTTGACCTTTACCGAATCAAAGGCACTGTTCATCCGGTGTGAGTACTCCATCACACTCTCCGCCAATCTCTGCCTCAAGCCTACGAACCCTGCCAGCAGTTGCGATCCCGACCGTCTCTCCCCAAAGGTCTCCATAATCAGATCCAGCACCTTATCCGGATCTGATTGGATGGTTTTATCGTGGCATTTGACCTCTGCCCTAACCGTCTCTCCTATGCTGCCCATCAGCAGTCTTAATCTTTCCTCTGGTGACATGCCTCTCGAGGCCCAGGCCGCTTTGACCTCTTCACTGAACCTGTTGGTTAAAGTGGGATCCCCGTCCCCGTAAAATTTGTTAATGTGGGACTCTCTGGGTAGGACCACTATATGGGTCTGCTTCTCGTCCAGAGTAGACATTTTATTCCGTAAGTAAAACAAAAGAGTTCTTTCTTACCGTGTGTATATGAAAAAATTTTCCTCGTTCCTCAATTTTCACAGTTCCTGAATGTCCGAATTCACATACACACAAAACACAGTTATGCACAAGGTTGACTATGGGTGCCTAAATCGGCAAGTCTAGTTTAATTCATCCTGCTCGACGACGCCAAATGTGACCTAGGCTAGTTGCATCTATCCTGTTCGCAACGCCCAATGTGACCTTTCCCGAGTCTATCCTGCCCGACAACGCCAATTGTAACGAGTTGAACCACTCATGCTACACAACATCGACTACAGTAGAAAGACTCGAAGATGCAGGTTCGCTATTGATCCTTTTATTACATGAATCAAGAAATGTTTCAATATAACACAATGAATCAACAGAGATGTTTCACAATAATAGTCTGAATCAACTGACCCCCTAACAGTCCTCACTAGGCTTCATATAACTGAATCCACATGTCTATTGTCCTTCTTAACACAATATAACCAACTTGAGTATGTCACACAGACTGACTGATCTAAAGCAAGCGACGACGACGGAAGAGAGAGAACGAGTCCTGCCGTGCCCTCCTATTTATGCCTTGTATCCGTACTCGTCTCCGTACTTGTATTCCTCCGTAATCGATACTTGTACTCGATCTCCGACCACCAGTTGCGTAGTTCAAACGTACAGACCGTAAAATAACATCTGCGTCCTATCCATCAAAGTTGACAGGCCGTCTGAATACCGTTTCCCAAAATAGCACGCCTTGGCTTTGAGGTTGTTATCAGCCCGACCCAATAAGCCACCTGTTATCGGTTGCATCAGACCAACACCGTGTCTCGGCTTCTCGTTCGTTATCATTTGTAACTGGTAGTTAGGCCTACCCCAGTTACATATATATAAAGTATGAGGGGGGGGGGGTGCAAATCGAAAGTTTGTGGGGGGGGGGAGCAAATCGAAAGTTTGAGGGGGGGGGTTCAAATCGAAAGTTTGAGGGGGAAAATTATTTATATTTCGTGATAATGTAACACAAATGGGTTGTGTCTACGGGTCCAAACCCCCGCGTTGTAACGCCACTGCCTACCTATGTGTCCAGACTGTCCGCACCCCACCTCGCCCCTGCCTTGTGACGCCACTGCCTAGCTATGTGTCCATAATGTCACCCCCCCCCGCCCCCGCCTTGTGACGCCACTGCCTACCTATGTGTCCAGACTGTGCCGCCTCGTGGATCGGCTCGTCCCCCTTGAGGTTCCTGACCCACAGATCGACGTTGTGCTGTTTCAAGACCTCCAGCGCCTCTGTGGACCCGCTGACCGTGGCACAGTGGACGACCCTGAGGAGAGGTCAGAATAGCGACCGTTAGACTGGGGGGGGGGGGGTCAGAACAGCGACCGTTAGACTGGGGAGAGGTCAGAACAGCGACCGTTAGACTGGTGAGAGATCAGAACAGCGACCGTTAGATTGGGGAGAGGTCAGAACAGCGACCGTTAGTCTGGGGACAGGTCGGAACAGCGACCGTTAGACTGGGGAGAGGTCAGAACAGCGACCGTTAGACGGGGGAGAGGTCGGAACAGCGACCGTTAGATTGGAGGAGGGGAGGTCAGAACAGCGACCGTTAGTCTGGGGACAGGTCGGAACAGCGACCGTTAGATTGGGGAGAGGTCAGAACAGCGACCGTTAGTCTGGGGACAGGTCGGAACAGCGACCGTTAGACTGGGGGAGGGGAGGTCAGAACAGCGACCGTTAGACTGGGGAGAGGTCAGAACAGCGACCGTTAGTCTGGGGACAGGTCGGAACAGCGACCGTTAGACTGGGGAGAGGTCGGAACAGCGACCGTTAGACTGGGGGAGGGGAGGTCAGAACAGCGACCGTTAGAGTGGGGAGAGGTCAGAACAGCGACCGTTAGAGTGGGGGGGGAGGTCAGAACAGCGACCGTTAGAGTGGGGAGAGGTCAGAACAGCGACCGTTAGAGTGGGGGGGGGAGGTCAGAACAGCGACCGTTAGACTGGGGGGGGGGAGGTCAGAACAGCGACCGTTAGACTGGGGTGGGAGGTCAGAACAGCGACCGTTAGACTGGGGAGAGGTTAGAACAGCGACCGTTAGACTGGGGAGAGGTCAGAACAGCGACCGTTAGACTGGGGAGAGGTCGGAACAGCGACCATTAGACTGGGGGAGAGGTCAGAACAGCGACCGTTAGACTGGGGAGAGGTTAGAACAGCGACCGTTAGACTGGGGAGAGGTCAGAACAGCGACCGTTAGACGGGGGAGAGGTCAGAACAGCGACCATTAGACTGGGGGAGAGGTCAGAACAGCGACCGTTAGACTGGGGAGAGGTTAGAACAGCGACCGTTAGACTGGGGAGAGGTCAGAACAGCGACCGTTAGACTGAGGAGAGGTCAGAACAGCGACCGTTAGACTGGGGAGAGGTCAGAACAGCGACCGTTAGACTGGGGAGAGGTCAGAACAGCGACCGTTAGACTGGGGAGAGGTCAGAACAGCGACCGTTAGACTGGGGAGAGGTCAGAACAGCGACCGTTAGACGGGGGAGAGGTCAGAACAGCGACCGTTAGATGGGGAGAGGTCAGAACAACGACCGTTAGACTGAGGGGGGAGGTCAGAACAGCGACCATTAGACCGAAAGTAATCAGGTGTTCGAGGTTCATGGGGCAAGTGAAGTAGAGTTCACCTGTTTCTATGACCTCGGAATTTTAAGAGATAGTGAATCAAGTGTTCATTGGAGTTAAAAAACCATTAAAAAACAATTTTTCCCAGTTTTGAATAAGACCTATAACAAAAATTTAGCCAATGTTTATATCCCACCCTGAGGTCTGGAGTCATCATTTAAAATGAAGTTATAAAATTTAACCCCTAAAATAACATACATAAAATTTTTTTTTCATAAAAAACGTTTTAATAACAAGCTTTTATGTAATGATGCACTAGAAAGTAGAAAATAAATTATACACTACTATTTAAATTACTATAAAGAAAATCATGGGTCACTTTAGTACTTTAGTACCTATTGGATACCTTTACTAATATTTGAGAAGAGACCCACGCTTTTCTTTATAGTAATTTAAATAGTAGTGTATAATTTATTTTCTACTTTTTAGTGCATCATTACATAAAAGCTTGTTATTAAAACGTTTTTTATGAAATTTTTTTTCAGTACTTTACATGTTTTATTTACAATAGTGTTACATGACTAAAAACCATTGCGCGTCTATTGAACGTGATGGCGCAGCTATTAAACCTGATGGCGCAGCTATTGAACGTGATGACGCGTGTGGTGTGGTTGGATAGACATGCCTACTAATTCGGTCCAAATTTTAATTAATTCATAAAAAATTAATTAGGCATCCAATTAAGTCAAATTTAATTTCAGATTGCATTGTCTTCATGTCTTGACCCACGTGTCAAATGTGAATCGTATCGGTCAAGTAGAACTGTCCGAATTTTCTCTCCGGCGTTTCGATCTAGACAGACAGAGGAAGTGAGTTAAATAAAAGCTTGTAAAGAGGAAGTTAGTTAAATAAAAGCTTGTAAAGAGGAAGTGAGTTAAATAAAAGCTTGTAAAAAAGTTATAAAACTAATAAATTCAAAAGAAGCCATAACAATAACATACCTCGGAAAAAAAGTTATAAAAAAACCTAAATTTTTATCAAAGTTATAAAATAACAAATTCGAAACACAATTATAAATTAATGTAAATTCAAAAGTTATATAAAGGAAAGTTTTAAAAAATAATATAAATTCTATAGAAAGTTACTATATTTTCAAGTACTTTTTAAGGAAAATCAAAATGTACTTTATCTGACATTGTTTACCATACCTCTTCCCATTCCCATTCTCTATTGTAACATCGTAACGAAGATTCCCCCCCCCCCCCCTCCACCATTCATCTTAGCAGTGTTTCTTCCAGACTTTTTTCTCCGGGGGTGCACTAGCAATTTTCGGGGGGGAGGGGGGGGAGGGGGGTGTGGACAACAATTCCCGGGGAGGGGGGGGCGGACACTGTCAAAAGTATATATTTTCTATATAAATTCCATTTCGTTCGGGGAGGGGGGTGGTATACTTTTTCGGTAGAAGAGATGCCTGGAAGAAACTCTGCATATTAACCTTTATGAAAATAAGAAATCCAATAAAGTTATTATTTGTCCGTTTTTAGTGTTACCTGCCTGTCAGTGAACATAATTGATATGATTTCGTTAAAAGTTTGAACACTTTTAATTTCTGTGACTGGACTGAGTGTGTTGGGTGTGAGCTGTTACGTCACACGCCGAACGGTCGACCTAGTGTACTCACTTACGGCCGCGTGTGTCCGTGTGCATGACGTCAGCACCCAGCTGCAGCAGCGCCCTCATGCAGTCGACGTGGGCGAGGGTGGTGGCGTAGAACAGGGGAGTGCACTGGTTCTTGTCCACGGGATCCACTAGGGCCCTGAACATGGATTTTATGCATTAACACGCGAGCTTTCTTTTCCCGATGACAAGAATTAATTATAGAACAACCAGGATGTTGTTGTTCAGTTCGGCTTAGTGTTTGATGGATTTTTTGAGACATTACTCTAACGGTAGAGAGCTGGCCTGCTAACCCGAAAGTCTCGTGTTCGAATCCGGGTTCAAGTCAGTAGACCGTCCCTGAGTCCACCCAACTCTGATGGGTACCTAACTCACGTTAGGGAAAGTTAAGGCGGCTGGGCATAGTGCTGACCACGCTATCTCTTCATATGCCGAGGTCGCAGAAACAAGTGAACTCTACTTCACTTGCCCTATAGACCATCATGTTTGAAAATTGGAACTGTACAATACAAGCCATAAAAGAAGACACTGAACAGTCTAAAACTCCAAAAGGCAAGAGTTCACATACAATATGCGGTCACATAAACCTGCTTGCTTCTCAGTATCAGCAAAACATTATTTGCTTGGGTAAGGGGGAGACACCACAGGAAAATAAACCTTTGTAAAAAAAAAATGCATGCTTAATGGTGTTAATACACTAATAAATTAATAGTGTTTTGTCTATAAAAAAAATTATCACCAATTATTTTCTTTTATTTCATTTTAATTTATAAAGTTTATCAAGGCCTTCTTACATTTTAACATTTTTCTTTTGATATCAAGATAGGACGTGGCCATTTATCTTAAGATGACTTTAAGGTTCATATCGGCTTAAATATGCTTTTACATTAAACAGCGTAGTCAAAAGAAAATGGAAAAACTAAGAATGTAAGACGTTACAGAAAGAAAGAAAGAAACAAAAAGTCTTACGAGGAGTGGCTATTTATCTTAAAACTAGGCATGCTGCCCAGCTTCGCTTGGGCTTTCAAAAACATTGAGAATTTGAATGCTTAATTAATTCGCCCGAGGGTCGGTCTACGACCTCAGGAGTTATGAAGAGGTTCCTACGTGGACAAATTTTTTTCGATTTATAGCTCATATAAGGCGCCGGTCAGTCGAGGTCTGTTTTGACCCCCTCATCGTAGACCTTTAGGCCAACCGGCACCGTCCCCCGTGTTCTGTCGCCCCAAGGCAAAATCCTGTCTAATTTGAAGCGCCTGCGGCGCCGGGAAGTGCCCGATGTCGGGCACCCGACAACTTTGCTTCATATATTATAGGGATTAGCAAATTGCATAGATAAACAAAGATTTCCAAAGTAGTTCTTTTCTTTATAGTCTAAAATAGGAAGATTCACATATATATAAAATTTTTTTTTTTAAAAATTAGGTTTTAAAATATGGAGAATAAAAGAAGTGTTTAAAACAATAACTTACACGAATATGCCTATTTTTTCAAATTATTTTTTTTACCCAAAATTAGCCAGTTTCATTGCTAAACAAACAAAGATTTCTATAAAATATTTAAGTCCTGAAAAAGTTTATTTCAGAAATTTATTTTTGGAATAGATTCTACAGTAGATATAGTCTAAATCTAGATCTAGAATAGATCTTAGAGACGTAGCGTCTACGTCAAGTTTTTGCGTAGATTTAGATCTAGTCTAGATCTAGAATCCAAATAGATAAAATAATTTTTTAAGTTTAGGCCGAGAATATCGTATTGTATACATTTCATAGCGTACATTAATATTTGAATGAAATAGTTCATTTCTTTTTATTCTAAACTCGGAAGATGACGTCATCAATTTCGTGCTCTTTTTTTAGTGTAAACAATAAGCGACGTCCTTGTTAAATGTGTTCTTGTCCCACGTCTAAACACTTTTCCGGTTGCATAAATAAAATTATTTTTCTACATTCGAACACGCCTTTATTTTTTATTTTTCTTCTTTAAATAAAATTGTGGTTATACATTTAAAACATCTAACATATTATTTTCAACAAAAGTCCGAATAAAGTTCTCGATATATCGCTGTAGATCCTGACGTGATGTCCGGCGAAAATATTTTGCGGACAGACAGACAGAGAGAGAGAGAGAGAGAGTGAGAGAGAGAGAGGGAGAGAGAGAGAGAGAGAGAGAGAGAGAGAGAGAGAGAGAGAGAGAGAGAGAGAGAGAGGGAGAGAGAAAGAGAGAGAAGTGCGCACGGGGTTTTTTATATATTAGGATAACTTTAAATACGCTTTAAACAGTATGGTCAAAAATGGAAGGACAAAGATTGTGAGACGTTTTCAGAGAGGAAGAAAGAAAAAAAACCTTACGAGCAGTGCTTGACCAGTGTCTCCACACATTCTGTGTGACCCCTGCTGGCCGCACAGTGCAAAGGTGAGAGGTCATCCTTGTCCGTGCGGTTGACGTCGGCGCCGTGCTGGAACAACAGCTTGCAGGCCTCGGAATTACCTGGGCGGTTCAAGGTCAAAATTGTTTGGGTGGTTCAAGGTCAAAATTATTCGGGTGGTTCAAGGTCAAATTATTTGGGAGGTTCAAGGTCAAAATTATTTGGGGGGGTTCAAGGTCAACACTATTTGGGTGGTTCAAGGTAAAAATTATTTGGGTGGTTCAATGTCAAAATTATTTGGGTGGTTCAAGGTCAAAATTATTTGGGTGGTTCAATGTCAAAATTATTTGGGTGGTTCAAGGTCAAAATTATTTCATGTATGAGAGGCACAGAGGTTTGTTGTGTGTTAGCTGAACGCCCTTTTAAGGATTTACTCCAAACTTAGCATTCAAATTCGGGACAGGAAGCAATAGTTAGTCCCCCCCCCCCAACACCGTGCATGAAAGAAACCTACCGCTATCCTTTCCATTAGCCAAAAGGGCAAAACCTAATGCTGTCCTTACAGTGCCATATAGCGATAATTAACCCCTGCTACACTGGTTGAATCCAACACTAGCATTCTGAATAGAGGCACCTAGCAAGAGAGGCGCTCACATAAGTAAAACCTCACGCTAGCATTCTATAGTTTAAGACGGCTGCATAGATTCTCTGCGACGGGTGGTCGAATGGGAGTGTGTTTGACTTGAAACTGCAGGATGCCCCTGAGTCTGCCCAGCTCTGATGGGTACCTGCCTTACGAGAGGGAAAGTAAAGGGCATAGAGCTGACCACATCATCCCTTCATATACCGAGGCCAATAATTCTACTTATCTGCTTAAATGGATCGCTAGTTCTAAAAGACGAATTTTTCTAGATTCTCACATCAATACTTGCCATGCTGATAAAGGGAGAAACACAAAACCGAGTCCGCTGGAAATGTGTGGTTGCAGCCCTTTGCTCTTCAGGGGCCACAAAGGAATGATGATGATGATAATAGGATTTTAAAAAATGACAAAGTCTAAGTCTAGTCACACCAAGTAAGACACGGGAGACAACCTACCAGCGCTAGCCGCCCAAATGACTGGAGTTCTCTTATCCTTGTCTTCGACTTCAGGCGACACCTGGTGCTCCAGCATCGTCTTCAGGATCTGCTGGCAGGCGTCGTCTGGTGGGCTGTCTGTGGAGAGGTAAGGGGTGGGGGGGGGGGGGTCGGGTTCATGTCAGTGCAGAACTATACAGTTGTACGCCAGTGTGTGAGTTTACAATTACGAGACATATTACCTAACTACGTTATGCGAGACATATTACCTAACCACGTTAAACGAGACATATTACCTAACTACGTTATACGAGACATATTACCTAAGTACGTTATGCGAGACATATTACCTAACTACGTTATACGAGACATATTACCTAATTACGTTATACGAGACATATTACCTAACTACGTTATACGAGACATATTACCTAAGTATGTTATACGAGACATATTACCTAACTACGTTATACGAGACATATTACCTAACTACGTTATACGAGACATATTACCTAACTACGTTATACGAGACATATTAACTAACTACGTTATACGAGACATATTACCTAACTACGTTATACGAGACATATTACCTAACTACGTTATACGAGACATATTACCTAACTACGTTATACGAGACATATTACCTAACTACGTTATACGAGACATATTAACTAACTACGTTATACGAGCCACATATTACCTAACTACGTTATACGAGACATATTACTTAACTACGTTATACGAGACATATTACCTAACTACGTTATACGAGACATATTACCTAACTACGTTATACGAGACATATTACCTAACTACGTTATACGAGACATATTACCTAATTACGTTATACGAGACATATTACCTAACTACGTTATACGAGACATATTACCTAAGTATGTTATACGAGACATATTACCTAACTACGTTATACGAGACATATTACCTAACTACGTTATACGAGACATATTACCTAACTACGTTATACGAGACATATTAACTAACTACGTTATACGAGACATATTACCTAACTACGTTATACGAGACATATTACCTAACTACGTTATACGAGACATATTACCTAACTACGTTATACGAGACATATTACCTAACTACGTTATACGAGACATATTAACTAACTACGTTATACGAGCCACATATTACCTAACTACGTTATACGAGACATATTACTTAACTACGTTATACGAGACATATTACCTAACTACGTTATACGAGACATATTACCTAACTACGTTATACGAGACATATTACCTAACTACGTTATACGAGACATATTACCTAACTACGTTATACGAGACATATTACTTAACTACGTTATACGAGACATATTACCTAACTACGTTATACGAGACATATTACCTAACTACGTTATACGAGACATATTACCTAACTACGTTATACGAGACATATTACCTAACTACGTTATACGAGACATATTACCTAACTACGTTATACGAGACATATTACCTAACTACGTTATACGAGACATATTACCTAACTACGTTATACGAGACATATTACCTAACTACGTTATACGAGACATATTACCTAAGTACGTTATACGAGACATATTACCTAACTACGTTATACGAGACATATTACCTAACTACGTTATACAAGACATATTACCTAACTACGTTATATGTAATGGAAGGGTTAAAAACATACAATAGAAAAAAACAAACCAAAATCGAACGCATTGCTACTATAATGGAAAGTAAACATATATTAGCAGTTTGAAATTTGCAAAATTGACAAAATCTAAATACCGTTTAAGAATTTGAAGATTCGCTACAATAGTAATAATTAGTCCTAATTATTTGTCGATTTGATTTATTGTTAGTGAAAAGTACAATTAAACCAAGAGTTGTGGTTCTTACTTGACGAGTCGTCGTCCTTGTTTTTTCTTGCCATCATCTGTGCTGCGTAGTGGATGGGGTAGGCGTGGTGTTTGTCGGGGGTGTTCAGTTCGGCCCCGTTCTCCAGTAGGACATTCAGGACATCAGAGTGACCACAGACTGAGTCAATAGGACATGGTCATTGTTAATTAAAAGCTTGAAGCAATAAGATCCAACAATTAATTATTTTTTAAGATCTATGAAGTTCACTGCTATAAGAACACTAAGTCAATTTAGTTATCTATTTCATGCAGGCTCAGACAGAAGAAGGAAAGTTAGCAATAATAGACAAAACTGAAATCTTTTCTCAATTTTTAAAAATCGTGACTACATTAAAATGTTTAAAATTGACCCGGTGTTCTAGTTTCATATAAGGCTGGTAATTAGGTCACCAACTAGTTCAATGGCTCATGCAGGTTTTATTGAGCCGTAGAACTGGTTGGTGACCTACTTACCAGCCCTATTGGTTAGCCATATACTTATGTCCGTGAACCATAATTCTATAGAAGTTTGGACATCTACAGGTCAAGTGTTAGTTTTACAAAGTTAACTTGGTCCAGATGTAGCACTACAGGTCTTCATGTGATTTGGTGCTTGGCCTTCATGTAATACTATAGGTGACGCCTGTATTTCACACCAGTATTTCTCACCTGTATTCGACACCTGTATTTGACACCTATATTTGACACCTGTATTTGACACCTGTATTTGAAACCTGTATTTGAAACCTGTATTCGACACCTGTATTCGACACCTTTTTGACACCTGTATTCGACACCTATATTTGACACCTGTATTTGACACCTGTATTTGAAACCTATATTTGACAGCTGTATTCGACACCTGTAATCGACACCTGTATTTGGCACCTGTATTCGACAACTGTATATGACACCTATATTATACACCTGAACTGTACACCTTACATCACTACTAACCTGTGGCCCAGTGCGTCATTGTATGTTTCTCATTGTCCACAGCTTTAAGATTAGCTCCCCTCTTCAGCAGAAGTTTGATCAGGGGGATGTTCCCAGCGATGACCGCCATATGCAATGGCGTCAGGCCCTCGTCGTCTGCTGAGGTGAGGAGGGAGGGGATGGACTTGAGGATGTACTCGGCACAGCTCGTGTCCGTGTTCTCGGCACAGTGGTGGAGGGCACAGCGCCGGAACCTGTCTTTGTTGGCCACTGGTGCCTGAATGTGTGCAGAGAGGTGGGGTTGTCTCAGGTTTTGGGTTTGATTAGGGTTAGGTCTTAGTGGGACTTAATTTAGGGTTTGGGTTAAGGCTCCTATATGTGTGAAGACAGGTGGGGTAATCTCAGGTTTTGTGTTTGATTAGGGTTAGGTCTGTGATGGGACTTAATTTAAGGTTTGGGTTAAGGCTCCTATATGTGTGAAGACAGGTGGGGTAATCTCAGGTTTTGGGTTTGATTAGGGTTAGGTCTATGGTGGGACTTAATTTAGGGCTTGGGTTAAGGCTCCTATATGTGTGTAGACAGGTGAGGCAATCTGAGACTTTGTGGTTAATATGAGTTAGGTCTATGATGGGACAGATTATGGTTTGGGTTAGTTTAAGGCACCTGTATGTTCTCAGAACAGGTATTCTCAGACTTTGTGTTTAATTAGAGTTAGGTCTACGATAAAACAGGTTAGGGTTTGGGTTAAAGTGCCTGTATGTGTACAGACAAGTGAGATAATCTCATGTTTTGTGTTTAATTAGGGTTAGGTCTAACTTAAGACACCTGAATGTGTGTAGACACGACAGGTATTCTTAGGCTTTGGATTAGATTTAGGTCTATGGTGGGAGAGATTAGGGTTTGTGTTAAAGTACCTGTATATGTACAGGCAGGTGAGATAATCTCATGTTTTGTGTTTAATAAGGGTTAGGTCTATGATGAGACAGATTAGGGTTTGGCTTAACTTAAATCTCCTGTATGTGTACTAGTGAGCACATCTCATATTTTGTGTTTAATTAGTGTGGGCTTAGGTTAGAGTTTGGCCGATTGGGTTAGGGATCCGAATAACGTTGACATTAAAAAGTTAAAAAGTTATATCAATATGTAGCTTATTACCATTAACCTAACATCCCTTTTTATAGAAGATTCCACTGTTGTGACATTATCCGACAATGGTATAACACATACAATGATTTATCTATTTAATCCACGCCCATCTTACCCCCGCCTCCACGAGCATGCGCAGTTGCGCGATGTTCCCATTCTGACAGGCCACGATGACGGGGCTGGCGCCCTCGCTGTCCTCCATGCGGAGCGCCCTCTCGGTGTCCTGGGTGCCGCGGGCTAGCACCAGCTCCAGGAAGGACGGCTCGTTGATGGCACAGCACCGGTGGACGATGTTGGTCTCCCGGTGGTCAGTTCTCGTCAGGTCCGCTCCATTGCTGGACAAACAGATGAGAATTCTTCCAGTTAGATGAAGTTCATAACTCAAAAACTTTAAATTTTAATTTTAGCTCAATGTGAGCTTTTAAATTTTAAATTCAAAACACTGTCCTATACTACACAATCAGTAAATTTTAACTACATATAACAAATCAAGCATTCTATTTTTCTAATCTAAGCGTAACTATGGATAATAAATTGGCGAAAGCGGTTATAATTCTAAACAACATAACTTATATTGGAGAGTAGTCAGAGTTTCTTCTTCCAGGCATCTCTTGGGGGGGGGGGGGGGGTTAGCCCCCCAAAAAAATTCCCCCCCCCCCCCCACGAACGAAATGAAATTTATATAATTTATATAGAAAATATATACTTTTAACAGTGTCCGCGCCCCCCCCCCCCCCGTAGAAAGTCTACCGCCCCCCCCCCCCAAAATTTCAAGTGCCTCCCCCCCCCCCCCCCCCTCGGAGAAAAAAGTCTGGAAGAAACACTGGGCGTAGTGTCCCATTCCGCGCCCGGGGCGAACTAGCAATTTTTCGCCTTCTCCCAATTTAAATATAGTTACTCGCATTGGCGTGTCTGTGAACACGATAACTTGAGTACCATTACAGCTAGGTTGTTGAAATTTCATATATAGGTAATATATCAAAGTTGTAGTTCTGTATCAGCGATTTTCGATAAACGGAAGTGGAAATTAATCTACTTTCAATTTGTCAAAAGCCTATAACTTGAGTACTGATTCAGATAGATAAATAAAATTTCACATGTAAGTAAACGAACTTATTCTCTGCCCTCTTTCAAATTTTGAGTTATTTCCGTTGACCCAAAGTACTAATTTACGCTATTTTCAATTTCTTAAAATACACATATAAATTTACAAAGTACTAATAATATTCTGCACAATTATACACATATTGTTTGGCGTTTACTTGGTGCGCAATTCTTTTTTTCTACGAGTAGTATATTAGGTCCCTTTTGGGTCGCATTTGGGTGGCGCAAAGGTTATATAGCAAAATACTCGGATCCGCAGGAACAATGACATATAGCAAAATACTCCCTAGGGTGGCGCAAAGACATATAGTAAAATACTCCACCATCTGGTGGTGGCGCAGGGTAGGGGATGGGGGTGGGGGGTGGAGAAGAGTGGGGTGGTGGGGGAGAGGGGGAGTGGTGGTGGTGGTGACCTGGGGGTGGTGGTGGTGGCGCAGCAAGGGGTTTGTTTATTTGATTTCTTTGTATGTATGTTTAATAGTAAACGGAGAGGGGTGTTGGTGGATGAGAGGGGAGTAATGATGGGTTTGAGGGTAGGGGTGTGCTAGTTGTACTTTGTGAATAACATCCATCAACCAGACACGTAACACCTGTTACGTATCGACCGCCCGCGAAGTTTTCAGGGCTGTGCGTTTTTTTAATGGGAATGTATTGATCGCACCCACGGGGCCATCACACCTAATTAAATCTTGTTATGCTTCACCGATTTTATGTGTTGTTCGCCGAAACGAACACAGCAGGCGTAATTTTAATGTATTTTTTAATTAGTTTTAATGAGTTTTTAAATTTTTAATTAATTTTTATTATCGAGTTACGTAATTTTAATGTGTTTTTTAATTAGTTTTAATGAGTTTTAAAAATTTTAATTAATTTTTTATAAACGAGTTACGTAATTTGATTATTTGTTTGAGTTTTTAAATTTTTTAATTAATTTTTATTATCGAGTTACGTAATTTAATTACTTTGATTGTATTTTTATTTTGTTTAATTTGTTTGTTTACTTGTTGTTTAATTTAATTACTTTGTTTATATTGTGTAATTTTTTATTAACGAGTTACGTAATTTGATTATTTGTTTACTTTTTAATTATTTTTATTTTGTTTATTTTTAATTTAATTTTATTTTATAATTAGTTAAATTATTATTAACTAGTTACGTAATTTGATTTTAATTACTTTTGTTTATTTATTTATTTATTTGATATATTTCTTTTCTTTGATGTATGGTATTTAAAATAAAAGACACTGTTTATTTGATTTTAAACGGATAGGGGTGTTGGTGGATGAGAGGGGGAGTAATGATGGGGTTTGAGGGTAGGGGTGCGTTAGCGTGTACTTTGTGAATAACACACATTAACCGGACACGTAACATCTGTTACGTATCGACCGCCCGCGAAGTTTTCCGGGCTGCGTGTTTTTAATGGGAATGTATTGATCGCACCCACTGGGCCATCACAGCATGATGTCCCACCTAATTAAATTTTTGTTATGCTTCACCGAGTTTCCCCCACTCGGTTGACAGGTTATGGTAATTTACGACGTACATTAAGTGGCTTTCCGCGAAGTACGTAGGTCATTATGCAACAGCTGTGTAATATCGATCGCATCCACTGACCATCACACCTAATTAAATTGGTCACACATCGTAAGTGTAGCGACATCGGTAACTATTCGCTTATAGCGAGGTCAGCGAAAACCGATCGATTTGTCAGCTCCGTGAAGCCCTTTAGGTAACAGCTGGTGCTGTAATTAGTCACGGCTCTTGGCTTTTTTCATTAGATTACAGCTGTCCATGAACTATGTTCACATATCGTACGCCCGGTCATTCTTTGATCAAATTAAAAATTTTTGTTTCCACATGTCCTACGAACCGTCCCTTGCTATGTATGAAAGATTAATGGTTGTAACTATTCGCTTATAGCGAGGGTCAACGAAAACAAAATATATTTAAGGGTCGGAATTTTCTTTCAACCAACGTTAAATCAGGTTTTGAGACGAAACGAGGTCTCGGTAGGTTCGTGCTTTTTAATAGGCGACAGGGGCGACTTAGTGCGTTGGTACGTAAGGTATGCGGGGGTAGACATGTTTTTTACAAGTCTGGAAAAGTAATTAAGTTTTTTATGACCGTTCCGATTTTCTTTTGATCTGACCACCATTTGACCACCCTGAGCCAGATAAATTTAACAAATGTTCAATACATAGTCGCTTATAGTAACATGGGTGAGGGGTGTAAGCAGGCGGGTGACGGTGTGAACAGGTGGTGGTAAGGTGGTGGTAAGGTGGTGGTAAGGTGGTGGTGGTGGTGGTGGTGGTGGTGGTGGTGGTAAGGTGGTGGTAAGGTGGTGCTAAATTTGTTTGGAGTAAAGGATATATAGTAAAAGATTCCACCACCTAAGTGAGGTGGATTTTAATTTTAATTTTTTTTATTTTATTTTTTTTTTTCATCATCTGTTAACTTTAAGGTTCTATAACTCTATTTATTTTAATACGTTTTTTGATTCAAATGAGTTTACCCCCCCCTAACGTAAGTACATGTAAAGAGGGATTTCCTATAGATCTGTAATGAATTAGGCCTTTTTGACTATGACTTGTTGCCCAGGTGTTGACATGATACACTTTTTTGAGATACATGTACACACATACACACACACACATACACACGTACACACACACACACACACACACACACACATGCGCGCGCGCGCGAAATTCATACTAGGTCGGTAAAGGCGGAGAGAACTTATAGGTATACATTATCATGGTGACAACAAAAGCGATCCTTATTTTATTTATATGAAAGCGTGTTTTCCAAAAAGTGTCACCATGCCGTTGTCATTTTCGCAGCGGGGTTTATTTTAAGTGCACCTCGTGCTCGCTTGTTTACATTTTAAAAGTCGTGTCGCGTGTCTTCCCTAATAGAGAAACGAGAGGAAAGACAACTGTTCTAAAATTAGAACACCCTTGTTTACAGCCACGAGTATCGTCCCTTGTGAAAAAATTCGCGTCAGAATCCTTAACTAAACAGTCAATTTCTTTAACAAGTTAAAAAATAATTTAGGAAGACAAGGGTTAACAACATTAGACGCCACCGTTTTTGTTTCCTGTGACGACAAGGCACAATACACTTTTGTATTTTATGTCTCAAGTAGAGGGGTGGGATATTTTTTCTTTGTAAGCGTGTTGTAAACAATAGGTAGAGGAAGCGATTACTAGATAAGAGGGGAGAGAACGTGACGTACATCGCGATATTTGAAAACATGGCGATGTTTAACCTCAACCAAAAAAGGCAATGAACCTAGAAGGAAGCCGAATATATATCTTAGTCTTGAAGCAGATTACCTTCCAATGTTCGCTTTAGTATTACAGTTTTCATCAAACTTCTTTTTGACTTGAACTTCTTTAATTTTTAAGAAAGTTTACTTATACATAATACATTACGTCTAATGACAATTTTTTTATTTTTACCACTCAATGTATTTTGTTTTTCTATATCTTACATTGTCATCTTAATTTTTGATCACCTTAGTAAAAATTTGCTTAAGATTATAAAATTCAAGTTTTAAAAAACAACAACGTTATAGTACGTCGTGTCAAATGACACACCGTTTAAAATGTCTACATTTAAAGTTCACCAAAATAATGACGTAAAATCTAAATATGATATGACGTTAGCATACATATCATTCAACCTAATCACTCTAAAGTACAAATCAATAATTTTTATTGATTAAGGGGCTGGGTGAGTTATTTTTATCACTATTCGCCCTTCCCCTTCCCTTTGTCCGCAACCCCTTTCCCCTTCTCCCATCCAACCCTGCGTCATCACACTAACCTCAATACCAACCGCTAGATACACAGACCGTACCACTACCCATTCTATTCCATTTAAGAGACAAAGGCTGTATGACAATCCTAAAGACAAATATTTATTCAACTAATATCGCAACCCCCTAGAAACCACTCCAACAGACTGAGATACATAACTTGTAGACACCACTCCTCGTTGAATATCTCTTGCACCCTACCTACATCATTAACTTTGTCCGCCGCCCTTGCCCCCGTCCCTAAACACCCGCTAGATAAACAGACCGTACCTCTACCCACACTATTACTTGGACAGACAAAGGCCAAAGTAACAGACAAACATTTATCCCCCTTCGTGACAACGTTCCCATCCAACTCCGAAACATCTATGTACCAATTTTGAAACCTGTCTTGTTGAAAACAAAGAC